ATAATAATAATATGACATCTAATATGTTGTAGAAGAACACGCTTGAGTTGATATCCTTGGACAGTACTTCTCAGCATAGCGTTTAGTTAAAGGAATCTTGCGCGGAAAATTCTTGCACTCTTTCCTAACATGAATATGTCAGTTGTGATCACTGGAAATAGCACACAAAGTTATGGACCATCGAAGGACCAGGAGGCAGAGCCAGGCGAGGCATGGAAAGAAGACGGCGTTTGGCCGGCTACGTACCAGGCGACGCAATGAGAGAATCGGGTTAAAGCGCGCGATTTCGGAGAGTGGAGACAAATCGATCGATGAATAGGATGGAGTAGAAGTGTAAGATGTGAATGCAACGAAGCAGAAGGCCAGAAAGAGCTTCTAGTGAAGGCACTCCAAGAACCAAGTGGAAGCATCCCCGTCGCCAGCATTTGTGAAAGACGTCCGTGGGCAATTCGAACGCGTAGCAGCCTTTTCGAGTTTTCGAATTTCTAATCAAAACGAAAGCAATACTTCAGTTCTTTTCACTATTATCGTGGATAATGAGTCTCAAGCCAGTGATTTATGGCTGAAATAGAATCATGATTTTTCCGCGCAAGATTCCTTTAACTAAACGCTATGCTGAGAAGTACTGTCCAAGGATATCAACTCAAGCGTGTTCTTCTACAACATATTAGATGTCATATTATTATTATTACCATTGTTATTATTATTATCATTAACATATTCGATGATCACATACAGTAATTACCATGTCATTAATGTTAACTGGCTACGAGACAAAAGTACACGCCGCGGATCAGCTAACGGTAAATCGCGGCGCTTAGTTCGGATTTTTTGAGTGGCACAGACTTGCGGAGTGTACATTTGGCACCTACTTGTACCAGTGATATTCGTACTATTCAGCTAGAGTTTGTGTACAGTATTAGTAAACAGTCTGAGAAAGTACTTACCACAGTTTGGTAAATTGAAGAAAAAAACCACGTACTTACCCAACTTTTTCGATGGACTTCCAACAGATAGTGATTAAACAAAGAAACGCAAGGAGTGGAGGGGTTTAAAAAAAGGGATTAACATTACCATTTTATGCATATACGTTCCGCTACTGGTAAATACAACTGTGGAAATGCTGTGGTTACCTAAATTTTCGGCATGTTCCAGTGTTGTTGTCACACATGTACCCTGTTGGGCATGTAACTTCGGCGCACAGCGATGTTGAAGGCTGAAAAAGTGTTTCATCGGAGCTCTTTCATTCTTCACCTTTATGATGGAAGAAAACTTAAGGCAGAGGTCGTGCTGATGGGGTATTTAAAACATCCGGGCATGGTTAGGCGAATGCCCCGTGACACGTGCGAGTGCTTGCGTGCTGAGAGAGGAAGGACCGTAAGCAGAGGTAATCCTCATGTCGCTGAGTGAGCAAAATACATTTCAAGCCTAGTATTTAGGACGATTGGCGAGTGTATGGCGCACCTCAGCAAGATCAGATCTGCACCGAGTACCTGTTGAATATCATAGAGAAATTCGTGTTTAAAGACGGAGTTTATGATGAAAAGGCAGCTCGTCAAAATTTAAGGTAAAGGAAGTCAGTAGATGAGGGATGCAGGAAAAACCGTGAGAAAAGGAACCAGAACTCGGGAAACAGGATCCGTGCCTAAATTAGAATACACGAGCGTGCCATTCTAGACGAGCAACCTACTCACTGCCATGCATCGTTGATGAAGCGCGGTGGGTCAAAGTCGACCAACACTCCTTAAATGTAATAATTATTATACAAATATCGAAAAAACAAGCCGTTTAGACCCACCAGCTCGACCCACACACTCGGCGACGTGCCCAACACACACAATGGCGTGTTCCGATGGCTTGCGCTCTCCTACCATGCACGCGACACTGCGACTTGTCTCTGTTTCTCGCTAGTGAGTTCGGACACGTTTGGGACACCAGCATTGCAAAACAGTGCACAAGGACCTAGCAATATTTCTGAGCACAACTAAGAGCCAGTACCAGCACGGGAAGTAAGGTACAGTATTCTCTTTGCTCAAAGATATTCTGAGAACAAAGGGAGGCAGAGTTGTAGTGACCTCGCGGATGCAAGTAAGCGCAGACGGTCAGCACCGGCAACACCCAATGTTCCAAATGATGGCGTCCAAACGCATCAAAAAATCGCGACTCACCTGTATTCGAGTCGCACTGCGTTCCTTGTGGGCAAAGCTCAGTTGCACATAAACCTGTTTGGCGACGATTTATGTTGTGATTTTTCTTGAGCTTGAAATCGCGAAAATATAGGCATTAACTTGGGTTCCCTGGAATTAGAAGTAAACTGAGTCAAATGTATAACTATCTATAATTAAAGGAATCTTGCGCGGAAAAATCATGATTCTATTTCAGCCATAAATCACTGGCTTGAGACTCATTATCCACGATAATAGTGAAAAGAACTGAAGTATTGCTTTCGTTTTGATTAGAAATTCGAAAACTCGAAAAGGCTGCTACGCGTTCGAATTGCCCACGGACGTCTTTCACGAATGCTGGCGACGGGGATGCTCAAACTTGGTTCTTGGAGTGCATTCACTAGAAGCTCTTTCTGGCCTTCTGCTTCGTTGCATTCACATCTTACACTTCTACTCCATCCTATTCCATCGATCGATTTGTCTCCACTCTCCGAAATCGCGCGCTTTAACCCGATCTCTCATTTTCGCTAGAACGAAGTTATACGAAGT